GAAAATTTGCTTTCTGTATTGGCTCGACACTCGTGTGACGTGATATCGATGGAGGGGCTGGAAAGCGAATCAAGACAGCTACAGGGCTCCCACTATGCCCGGACCGCGAGATATTGGGAGCGAGAGTGACCCTTCTACCACCCGTGGGGGCCGCTAAGTATTGATAAGGTAAGAACTCAGTAAACTTTTTTATCGTGAACTGTGCCTCTAATTTTCCTAAGTCGCAAAAGATGTATTGGGCAGCGGCGCACTATCTTCAACTCATGACCCGGGATCGACTTCCGAACGGTCCGTCCAAGCTCTACGAAATCCTTCCTTCCACCCGGTGTCGCCCGACTGCTACCATACTCGTCTGGGAAGATAAGGGCGATGACTTGTATATCGCCGGCTCTCGCAAGTCGTTATCGGCAGCATATGCAAAACGCAACTACGAATGTTAAAAATTCCATAAAAACCATAAATAAATGTAAACCCATGGATACCAGCGCTGGGATCACAAAAACAAATTTACGACGGATATCTGCTTCTCAATCATATTCATAGTACACTGTTTCGAATTACAGAGGTCGTACGTTCTCGGTTTCATCAAAGCGATTCAGCCTGGATTTGTAGGAAAAATAGTTGCGCAGTTCGGATACAACAGTAAATTACAGGTTCCGATCTCCTGATAGTAATGTAATGATGAAAAAATAAAGTTTTTGGCGTTAATCAATCCCGTTTGAGGGATGCGCCCTCGCGCTCGGCTTCCATTCAGAATCGTAGTGCGTATGTGGCCTATACAAAGACTTGCGGTGGCCAGCCGATGTACAAATTACTACTTTTACCTCCCAGATGAGTCCGGTACCAATTAACCGACCCCGAGCGCTTTTATCCTCACAGACAAGCCGGCACCAATTTACCGAACTCGGAGGAGGCCTAGGCGGATAACGATCTGGGATTCGAACCCATGACTATGCGTTTGAGATAGTGCGCCACTTGCCACTTCATGCATACGAGGAGATGGTCATACAGCGCCGGAAGGTGGTGGGAACTTTGGCAAAGCGGAAACCCCAACCCAAAACATAACTTTTCCAAATTTTGAATGCAGCACTTTATACATAGAGCTGGACGAGCTCAGTCGACCTACACACCTTCTATAAAAAAGGGAAAGCTAACGCTAGGCATAAGGGAAAAACGAAAACAACGCGAATTAGCGATTTTTCTCTTTTTTCTGATCATCTAGGGTGGGTTTTGTGCAGATAGAGCGTTTCCAGCGAGTGTCTTGTGGAAGAGCGCACCACGATTTACAGCAAGTCTAAATTTTGGTCCGCTCACACTAAATATAGTCGACCCTTTTGAAATTATATAACTTCAATTGCAAGGCTTCATCTATGGAGTGACCTCTTAAGCTGAGTAGTTTTTGTTCCAGAAGTACCCTATGGACGAACAGTATTGTCAAATGCTACTGGCATCTTACGCGTTCACCACGGATGATATTGGTTTGTCTAATCCGTCCGACAATTTTCTAATTGCCGTATTGCCCCAACACAGTCATTAAATATAACGCTTCAGTCTATCAATGGGAGGAGCAAAATCCAATTCAATACCACGTGCAGCTGAATACATCGCTGCCAAACTTCCTGCTCAATGCAGCCGAAACTGGAGAGTGTACCAGTTCCACGACGACCGGTGACTATTCGTGTCTGAAAGTGATGTTCACAATGAAACGTATGTTTAGGCAAGTGAATAATATATTGAATGTCACATGCTTTTCTGTGATGTAAGGTTTGCGGTAATGTGGTATTTACTTTGGATGAGCTCGAACAGACCAGAAAACGATAGCTTTATCCTCAAGGCACACACAGTACGATCAATGATGGAGCACAATATAGCAGGTTAAGATACAGTTACAACAAATGAGATCTTACGAGAGGGATGAGTGTTCCCCTACTTCTAAAGGCGCCTAGGTATTGAAAGTTGCGGTCCCTCTTCTTGGGAACGAGGTTAAAAGCGCGCGTTCGAGAGTTTCTCTCTTTTAATTTAAATCCGTGTCCGACTCGAGGAGAGGATGAATCATTGGATTTGAGATATGCCCTTCCATATGCAGCAATGTATAAAGAACGAGTACCTTCTAGGTGAACACAGCAATCTTTCAAAAACATTTATTCAAATATAAAAGGGCTAATTTTTGTAGCAAAAAACCGTGCAACCAGCCTCAATATTACGGCGGGTTTCAAGAAGTATCGGGAACTATTAGAAAGCTCCAATGACTCACTATTCAATGCACCTACAAATGTAGACACACGTATGCTAGTATGCTCGGGCGTGCTCTGATTACAGTCATACCCATGAATGAGGCACTCCCCTAGGTAAGGGTATACAATGTCTTGCGGTATTTCGAAGACTTTAGAGATGTTGTTATTACCGCGCAAAACTAAATTATTCAGGTTCTATTTGGCTCAAATCTATCTTCCATCCACTTTGCTGGTCGTCGTGTCGTGGGTATCTTTTTGGCTAGATCGAACTGCAGTACCTGCGAGGGTCACATTAGGAGTCACTACCCTACTCACCATGACAACTCAGGTAGGTGAAGAAAACTTTCTATATAACTTTCTATAGTACCCTTTGCCATAACTACCGACGCCGGAAAAAGAATGTGAGTGTAGCTGTAACTATGAGCAGGCGGTATGTGTTCGATAAATATATCGCTGACCAACAAATTAGGATGGAAAAAGTTCGGAAAATTCAAATCTGGAG